CTTCCAGTACTGCTGGTGGAGAGCAATGGCCAGCACTCTACCTCTCCACTGACTCATGGATGGTAAAAAATGCTCTGTGGGGGTGGCCCACAGACCAATGGAAAAAGACCAGTTGGCTGTGTGGAGTAAACCCATCCAGGCTGCTGAAATGAAGCGAGGCATTAGGCATTGCTGTGTGGAGTAAATAAGCTGGTTGTAAAACTAAGTCATGTAGATGCACGTGTACCCAAGAGTAAGGCTACTGAAGGACACCACAATAATGGATAGACGAATCAAGCTGTCAAGACTAAAGTGTCTCAGGTGGCTCTGGATTGGCAGAATAAGGGTGAATTAGTTCTAGTTTGGTGGGCCCATGATGCCTCAGGCCATCAAGGAAGAGATACAACAGGGAGGAGATGGGCTTGTGATCAAGGCTGGACTTCACCATGGACACTATGTCTCAGGTCAACTGTGAAACATGCACTGCAATCAAGCAGGCCAAGTGGGCAAAACTCTGTGGTATGGGAGACAGTGGTAGAAATATAAATATGGGGAAGCCTGGCAGACTGATTATATCGCACTCTCTCAACCTGACCAAGAAAGTGTTAAGTACTTACAGTGGTAGAAATAACCACTGAAGATGGACTCTTTGCCTCATGTCACTGTCTGTAAAGACATCTTGGAACTTGAAAAACAAGTCCTATGGTAACATGGCACCTCAGAAATAAAGAAATGAGTCAGGCAATGGGACTCCTTTCAAAAACCACCTCACAGACACCTGGGCTGGATAGCATGGTGTGGGGTGGGTTTATCATATTCACTACTGTATACCAGCCTCTGGGAATATTGAATGGTACAATGGGCTGTTAAAGACTATATTGAAAGCAGTGGGTGGTGGGACCCTCAAACATTGGGATCTAGGTTTTGTGTAAGCCATCTTGTTAGTCAACTAGAGACTCCGCTAACTGATCTTCCCCTGCGCAATTAAAACCTCCACATACCATAGAAGGGGTAAAAGTCCCTGTGATACATATGAGGAATATGTTTGGAAAGACAGTTTGGCTTAGGCTTGCCTTAAGCAAACACAAACCCATCTGTGGGTACTGTTTTGCTCAAGGACTTGGGTACACTTGGTGTGTAATGCAGAGTGACAGGCAAACATGACGTATGCCTCAAAGGGAATTGATATTTGAGTGAGAACAATCTGCAATGTTGAATTGTATACTACTGGCTGTTGAATGACATTGCCATTGTATGCCATAACCACCACAAACAAGGGATATGGACTGCTCCAGATACACCAGGTGGGAACTCCTGATGCATCTTGCAACCACCCAACAGTACACCAGCCTTCCTGCCCTGAAAGACAGCTAAGATGGATAGAATTCACACTAATGGACTAAATAAACTCAAGAGACATCTTGGAAGGATGGCCACTGACTACAGAAATTGTAACAGTGCTTGTACATGCATACATATATATCCATTTTTCTATATAGATGTATGTAGTTGGAAAGTGTAGGATCTGGGCATAAAACACATGATATAGAACAAGGGGTAGATACTGCCCTGGTTCTGAATCGGTCAGAGTAAATTTTTTACAGCAGCCAGAGGAGGCACGGCTAGGACATGGAGGTTATTCTATACCACTTCACACCATTTTCCTGGGCCGGGGGAAGGGCTTTCTTCTGGGTCAGGATAGCATGGTGGCAATCAGGTTGGGCTCTATAATGAGAATCTCCATGTGAATCACTTGCCTCTCTTGTGCACCTTTGTAATTTATATTTTTGCAGTTAGTGCTCATTTTCTTATCTTATTGCAGTTTCCAGTTGATTGTTCTTAAGTTGTGATCTGTAACTTTTTTGTGCCTTCTATTCTCCTTTCCAAACCACTGTAGGGGGAAGGGGAGGGGGAGTGAGTGAGTAGTGCATAATTTTGAGGTTTTTGATGGGGACACTAAATTGAAGAATACCACCCCTAAACCATGATATTGAGAACTACTACTAGCCAAGGGGACTATGGTTATAAGGAACTYGTTTGACCTTGGGTTGGATATGTATTTCCCCAAGGTCTTTAATTGCAGACCCTTTAGTSTCCTTTCTGTTAAATGTTCTCCAGAGACATAAAGCCTGACTTAACCTATATCAGAACAGATCCCCAGTCCTGTTGGATCTCTCATATCACAAGCTCTTTGTGATATGACTTGACATAYGTCTTTGCACACCAAATGACCATGCTGTGGGTGTGAATGATTCTAAGTACAATACTGGTTTTCTTACACTCAACGTCTATGAGCACTTCTTAAAGCAAACATCCTCCCTTAATTAATTAGTCTTACTAATGCACTTTAGACAGCCATTAGGGACCTGCTCAAACAGTTTAGAGATCAAGTGTCTCTCTGAGTGGTCACAAAGGCAGGCAGGTGCTTCTTTCTGTGACAATTAGGCACAGAGGTTTTTTGGAGGCCTAAGGTGTAAGAGAGGAGTTATGAGCTGGCATTGAGAGATGGTTTTTCTGAGAGACACAGCTGACACAGTAAAGGAGTCTTACTTGGAAATATTTCTGTGTTCAGTGTGTGTTTTACCCTGATTCTTGTGTACCAGGCTCCTACTATAAAGCAAAAGTGTTCTCTAGTAGAAGGATACTCTTGCTTGTTGTTCCACACAAAATTCTAGAAGGACTTGTGTCCTCATTTTATGTATATTAACAAAAATAAGAAGAATTCAGCTTTTCTTAAACCTACAAAAGTTTTTCTCTGGTTTGTTTCCTGAATATTTTAGCTTCTATTTGACATTAGTAAGAACATTGGCAAGAAGTTCAGCACAGTTATAGTAAGCTGCTGATTTAAGGAAATGATTTCACAATGTATTTAGTAAGCTGTTTAAATTTGAATACTTTGTGGGGACTATTGCAGCTATGTCATCCTATACTTATCTTCTCAGCATAAAGCAATATTACAGAGTGACTGAATCAAATTAAAGGGCCTTTTGAAACATGCAACTTGAAAAACTGGAAAATATGGGGTTATAATGCTTGATCTTCTAGCATCTTGTGATGCTAAAATAAAGGAGTTTCAGTTCCAAGATCTTGTACGCATGTTTGGACTTATATAGTTAAAATGTAAATGCAACCTAAAAGTAAGGCGAAATGCCATATTCATAGCATCATAGAATACCTGGTTGTAAGGAAGCTGAAGACCCATCTGGTCCAACCTTTCTTGGCAAAAAAAACAGTCTAGAGAAGATGGTCCAGCACCCTATCCAGCTGAATCTTAAAAGTGTCTGATGCTGGGGAATCCACCACTCCCCTGGGGAGATAATTTTAATGGCTGATCTCATTGTGAAAAATTTTCATGCTGTGTCTAATCAGAATTTCTTCAGGAGCAAACTGTACCATTACTTCTTATCGTTTCATGTGCCTCTTCATAAAACAGGGGTCTCCATCTTCTTTGTAGCCACCCTTTAAATACTGGGACATGGTGACACGGTCTCTCCTAAGCTTTCTTTTCTCAAAGCTTAACAAATGCAGTTCTCTCAGCCTTTTCTTACATGGAAGGCTTCCCAGTTACTTCATGATTTGTGCAGCCCTTCTCTGAATCCACTCCAGCCTATTTACTTCTCTTTTTGTATGGGGAGACCAAAACTGAGCACAGTATTCCAGGCAGGCACTGAGTAGAGTGGGATAATGGCTTCCTCATCTCTGCTGGTGATGCCTTTGTTGATGCAGCCCAGCATTCTTCACCACAACACCACAGTGTTCACTCATATTAACTTGTTTTCCAACAGGACCCCTCAGGTCCTTTTCCACAGAGCTGCTCCCTAGCTGGTTTGTTTACAACCTGTGCTACGGTCCTGGATTAAGTTTTCCTATGCAAGGTGAAAGACCTTATATTTGTCCTTGTTGCACTTCATAAAGTTCTTGTAAGCCCACTCTTCCAGCCTATCCAGGTCTACCTGCCAGGTGACTCCTTTTAAAAGTGTCCCCTTTCCCACTTGGTTTGGTATAATCAGCAAACTTCACCAGGGTACACTTGATCCCATCATCCAGATCACTTACAAAGATATTAAACAGCATTGGGTCCAGTATCAATTGCTGGAGTAACCCTCTTGTGAGAGGTTGTTAGTTTGAAAAGAAGCTATTTAGCACCACTTGCTGACAGGCTGGGGCATGTCAGCCAGTTCCCCACCCATGGCATGGGCCACTTGTCTATACTATAACACATCAGTTCCTTTAGGAGGAGGCTATGGGAAACCATATCAAAAGCCTTGGAGAAATCCAGGTAGACAATATCCACAGCTTGTACCACATCAACCAAGCAGGTTACTTATAGAAAACTGTTAGCGTTCTCTTTGGAAAATATTACTGTTCTGCATCTGGCTTGGGAGTTTCTAATCTGAAAGACTGAAAAAGACATGCAAAGGAGTGCAAGCCCTGAAAAATCAGTCCTGACACTTTAAACAAACCATTATTTTTCACTGAAGCCAAGCAGCTAGCAAACCTTCATCTGTGCCACCCATTCAGAAAAAGAGATCTTTTTACACACTCAGCAACAGCAGTTTTTTCTACCTCTCTTTCAGTTACTGAGTGAAAAAGTAGCAGGGAAGGTTGAGGCAACAAGCCTGACATTTTGTGAAAGAACAAGAGGGCCTAAGTAAACTAAAACTGTTCAGGGGGCTATCATGTTTCCTCATGAAATATTTGCTCTGGAGATCTGCAGTGAGAAGGATTCTTGTGCTCAAGTGGATTTTTGGTTGGTGCATAGAAGTACCAAGCAAGCAGGAAAAGCTCTGATGAAAAGTCACTGGAATCAAGATGTTTAATTCACCAATTTGTCCCTGGACTACAACTTTTCCAGCCAGACTCAAATTCTCCACAACTTATGTTAAGAAAACAGGCAATCCAAACAAAATTCAAACTTAATTAAAGAAAGTAAAATGAGAGGCTTTTACAGTCCTGACATAAGTTATCAAAGTTTAATATATCTTGTCTTTTTTTAATTTCTTCTCAATTTTATTCTCCAGGGTGACAAAGAAGCAGAACTAGGGCTGCCCTTCTCTCCTCTGTGTGATCGCAAATCTACTCTGGTTGCTCAGTCCCAAATAGGTATGTCTCTTTTGATGCATGCAAAGCAGCATTCTAAAAGAAAAACTCAGCCTTCTCTGTAGTGCTGAGATCCTAGTGATATCTTTTGGTAGTATGTTAAAGTGAGAAAATCAGGCGCAATGGCATTGTTTTCCTCAGATAATAATTTAAAGCTGAGAAGCCATTAAATTTATGGTTGGTTACCTTTGATATGGCTGCAGAAATAACTACAATGTTTGGTTATGACACTTATTCCATGGTTTTGTGATCTGTGAAGACAATATCATGTGAATGAGTGTCATTGGTGTATATGAAAATGTAATGTGAGTTCCTTTGATATCCTGGACAGAAACTATTTGTTTCTGCCATCCTTTCCCTCCTAATGCTTTAGACAAACCATTATTTTTCACTGAAGCCAAGCAACTAGCAAACCTTCATCTGTGCCACCCATTCAGAAAAAGAGATCTTTTTACAGACTCAGCAACAGCAGTTTCTCTACCTCTCTTTCAGTTACTAAGTGAAAAAGCAGGGGGATGGTCGAGGCAACAAGCCTGACATTTTGTGAAAGAACAAGAGGGCCTAAGTGTTAAAACTGTTCAGGGGGCTATCATGGTCTGGTTACTAAAGTTATTAGAAATGCCTCTGCCCAAATTAAGGTGCAAATGAGACCATATGCCAAAGTCAATAGTATGCTTTTAAATGATAGCAAATATGAGAGAGGAAAAGAGACAAAAGAAGAGAAAGAAGTAGAAAATAGGTGAAATAGGTGGGGGCAGGGGTACAGAAAGAGAGTGACAAAGGCAGAAAAACGAGAATATCACCATCTGTGGATCCCAACGATGTTCCTCCGATCCTCTCCAGCTGATCTTCTTGGTGGTGAACTTCCCCCCAAAAAGCATAGAATCTGATTGGTTATGGCAGGAATGCCCATGTATGTCCCCTGAGGCGGGGAGACAGTCTCTTGTAGCAGACTCTGCATCTGTTGCATCATTTTGTGTCATGTGTGATCCCGTGGTGCAAGGTCTCTGGGGAGCATTTTGGGGATTCTTTGATGGATTATGACACACCCTCCACTGCCTCTCATGTGAATGTCACAAGGATACGGCCTGTGGGGTTGCAGGTTCCACAGCTGGGCCAGTTTGTGTGAGGGAGGATGGGTGTTCTCTGCCTCTGACCAGAGGCTGCACCACACACTTGAAATCTCCTCCCCCCGCCCCCTGTTTCAGGGAGGAGTGTGTGTAAACCTAGTTTCTATGGGCTGTGGTCTCCCCCATCCCAAACCCAGCCGGAGGTGACTGTCAGCACAGCTATTGGGTTTGGCTCTCATTCTTTTCCTTGTTTACTTGTTTACTTCTCCTCGGGCTAGAGATGACTGAAGAACGACCTTCCCTTTATCTAATCTCAGCAGTTTGACTTTCAGTCCAAAGTTCCAGTCAGGCATCTTCAAGGAAGGGTAGGCTTCGACAGCTTCTTTATACAGTTCTGCAATAATGAGCAAAACTTTATATGAATGTTTGAAGTATGAACTATTTCAGTCTCTGACAGGGATTTGGTGTAAAGAAGAGACAATGGAAAAATGGATTTGTGGGTAGATTTTTATACGTATGCAGTAAATGAAGTAGATAGAAGAACATGTTCCAGACTCAGCTGGAGAATAGGTGGCCAAATGGAATTTAAAAAGAAAGATAACTTGGATGCCAAAATCGAGGGAATGGAGAAAAACAGAAAGACAGAAAACTTATTAAAGAAAACAAAAAATTTGAAGCAATAAATTTCTCTCAAAGAACAAAATTATATTATATTATATTTCTATAAATTATATATATATTATTATTATATATATAAAACGATATTCTATTCTATTCTATTCTATTCTATTCTATTCTATTCTATTCTATTCTATTCTATTCTATTCGTTATGCTATGTTATGTTATGTTATGTTATGTTATATATATTAATATATATATATCACCAGTACAATTTACCTTATAAAAGAGACATTTTTCAGTAGGCAAAGACAGCCTTATTTAGTCATATACTATATACTATTTGATTTGTGCAATTTATTAATCTGTTAACATTAATAGGCTAATCTTTATTTTACCTTCTACCAATACAAAATTGTTCATTTCTTAGTCTGCTGCACATTTTGACAGTGTCTTTCTCTAGTGTCCTTTTTGTTAAATTGAAACTACCTATGTTTCCTGGCAGCCTGCTGAGACAAGACTTTCAAAGTTGTAGGCTAGATTCTCAGACAAATAATCTCTTTTCATTCATTTATTTTGCCAGTTAATATCCTCACTAAATTGTTCCCTATTCTATTGTAGAATAGTAACTACATTTCTTGGCAAAAGTAAATTCTTATTGAATTCCAAATTGTGCTATTATATGGTTGAACTTGATGATCTTAAAGATCCTTTACAGCTGTAGTGATTCTAGGATTGTCATCTGCACCAAGCAGCCATCAATTCTCGCAAGTTAAAAGCCTTTGTACTTTGAAATATATAATTGTCTTTTTGGTTCTATCAAAAGCAGAGAAAAAAAAAATCTTGTTCTGGTGGCTCAACTTGTTTGTAGTTGCTGGTTTGCTGCTGTAAGGTCAATGTAGATGCAACGACAGTGAGCACACATTTTCATTAATGAAAGGTTTTCACAAATGCAGACTGAAAGTTTTGGTGGTGTAGAATTTTTGCATGAAACTAGGCAATCCAACAGAAAAAAAAAATCCTCAAAAGAAAGATTCCGTCTCTCCTGTTGCTTCAGGTTATGAAAAAAAAATGTTCAATTTAAACTGATAACTAAAACCCCTGTGAATTAATGGACTTCATTTCTATAACCTATTAATGTTAATTATAATAACAATTTATGATCTTTTGTTTATTCAATAGAATAAGTATGATAAACACTTCTGTACCATAGTGAAGTGCAGAAATTGTGAGAGATTTTGGTGGGAAGCTGCTTGCCAGAGTGGGGGAGAGAAAAAAACTGCAAAGAAAACTAGACCAAGACTTTCAATTTCCCAACCAGAATATCAGGAGCTAAAACTTCTCTGACTCACACTCTAGGAAGCTTGTGTTACTGAAGATCAACCTTTATTACCATTGTCCTCTTCTACAGCTGATAAATACAATGTCACTCTTTTATTTTTGTCCTTTTACTGCCAAGAAACAAAAATGCACTTGCAGAAAACATTGGATAAATTTGAGGAGTGCATGCTGCTGATTTGTTTTTTTAATAGTGGGCTTTAGGGAAACTGTTCTCTACCCAAATTTTTTTTTATGTTGATGTTTGCAGGTATAATAAATGAATACTAGGCATATGCCTGGAATTCACACTTAGGATGCAGCTTTAACTGGTAAAATCATCTTAGTCTCTGGGGTACAAAAACGTTTATCATTCTCATTCTATTGAATGAGAAAAAGGATAATAAAGTTGTCATTAGTATTAAGAGGTTTTAAAACTCAGGCTCAGTATTCGATAATGAAGGGTTTAATCAGCAAACTAAATCACCATATTTAAATCTCAATGTCTTCAGGTAAAGAGTGAGACCACACAAGGCGGGGAAGAGGCATTTGGGAATATGGCAAAAGTTACATAGTTTTTAATAAAGTTCTATTTTTTTTTCTATTATAGCAGATTATGATTCCAACTTTATTATTTTTATCCTCATTTTAAGGTAACATAGTTGAATAATTTACTYATGTTATAGGGAATAGAGGAAAAAATGCCCCATACCAAAGAAAAGTTGTCCTAGGTATTTGAATTTATCTACCTTTGGTCTTTTGTGGCACCTCTGCTCATCTTTGTTGACGAGATGCAAGACTTTTCAGAAGGAAAATCATGTATAACTGTTCAGTATCTCATGAAACAGATCCTACCATCTTGCTGCTGGAGTTAGTGACATAGTCATGTGTTTGATATCAGAGATTTGCATGTCTCAGAGGTTGTTAGTGGTGATGGAGCAAATGGCAGTGGTATTACTTGCTGAGTAGAATGACAAGGTACTATGACTTGGGTTTCTTTGGTCATTAAGAGGTAACTAAGTTTTTCAGTGAAGGGGAATAGAAGAGACATATAGACAGACAGGCACACAAACATATGTAAATCAAGTTCTCATTATGCTTCGGGCTCCTGTGACACATTTAGCACTCTTCTCAGTGAGTAAAATTTCCAGAAAAATTTTATGGAGTTTGCTGGGATTATCTGGATTGTGATCTAGCATACGATTTCCTGTTCAAGCTTTATAATTCAKACATTTCTGAATAACTACCTGGGAGTTCTTTTTTTCCTAAATTTTAATAGATAAACTAGGTATTGTGGAGGCACATTATTCATATGTTCAGATGAGACTGAATGCGTCTCCAGATTTACAGAATGTTACTTGAAAGTAGCATTTTAAATTTGATGGGCATTAAAACACACTTAATAATCCATCCTTTTAGAAATTTAGCAAAAATAGGGGGAGGGAAATGGAACTAAAAGGATGCTCAACTGCTTTGCACTCAAGATGTGGGTTGAAGCATCTGTGAATTCAGGTGCCTGAACCACATGACCTCCTCTTCTTTTGTTGTTATCACCTAGAATCACCAATGCCATAGAAACATACCATGGCCTGGTCAGAGAAATTACAATAATTTAATAAATAATTGCTGATAATTAAAAAATATCTAAAAAGTGTAATARTAGGGATTTGTAACAGTAGTAATTGTAACCTGGATCCCAGTGTGCCTTAGGAGGGATTAAGGACACTGTTACTTTCTTGGCTACCTGCAGCACTAAGAAATTTCGTAAGTGAAGTGCTAAAAGAATTGGAGAAATGTGTAAGCTATGGTAAACTGTTCACTCACATTTTATTAGTACAATTTGTATTTTTCATGATCTTACAGCCACAGAGCTCTTCAGTCTGCACTTCCGAACATTCAGATCAGAGCCATATTCATCTCTGTCAAGCTGTATACTGAACTAGAAATTATTTGGCTCTTTTTTTTTTTAATGTTAAAAAATGTGGGGAAAGCATCTAGAGCTGTTTCATTATCAACAAGAAAAAGCTGGCTGAGCACTGAGGATATAAATATAACATTTATACACAGTAAGGGAGGTTTAAACTATTACTGTTTTATTAATTTTCTTCCTTTAGAGACTTCTTTGAAGTGGACTTTATTTTTAAGTTTTGTTGAAATCGGCTGGAATTTGACTTCAATATCACACTCCTCCTCATATAAAACAAGTCTGGATGAGTCATTTATGTTCTGATTTGCCACAGTTTATTTCCAGTGTTTAAGTAGGTACCTTTTTTTGCATATTAAATCAAGGGGGTCTTTGGTCAGGGATTAATGTATAACTTGGTTTTTCCTTTCTAGTATTTGCTTATCCCTCTTTCAAGGTATATTTTTTTTTACTCTGTCATTTACAGTGTGGTCGTCTACATTCACTTAAGCAGGAACTCCACATACATTCCTCCTCTTGCCTGCTTGACTCTGCTTGTGTTTCTGCTCAGGTTTCATTGATTTTATTGTGGAACCCACCTTTACTGTGCTGACTGACATGACAGAGAAAATCGTGACTCCGCTAATTGATGAAGCCTCCCATTCTGGCATGTCTGGATTTCGGCGTTCCAGGTGAATAAACTTGCACCCTCTCTCTTCACTTTATACAAGCTGCCATTGCTATCAACTCCCCTGGTTTCTCCCCCTACAGTGTACATCTTCCATGTGGCTTAAATTCCCATATCTGAATTGCTGACATTGTAGCTCACCTCGTGAGATGACTTTATGCAGGGAAAGTCCAGCTCGGGGGAGGTCAAAGAGGGATGGTGACATCAGCCTGACTGATGCTTTCTGAGAGAAAGAACAAAAATGGTTGTAGCCATGCAATCAGATACAATTCATGGCTCTCTCAGCCACTAATATCAGAGAGAAGGTAAAGAGAGTAACTGGGGGGCACTTGCTTATTCATGTCTAGAAGTATAAATGGGATTGAAACACAAATAAATGATGGCTGGAAAGAATAAACACAATTTTGTGACAGTATTTAGGGATACACAAATATCTGAAGAACCACCAGAATTTACCTGGTGTATAGGAGTAGGAAGTCTTGGCCCATTCAACCCGCACTGCTCTTTTAGAGATACTGCTCTACTAGTAGTTTAATTGACAAGGCATGTCTTGGGATTCTAGTGCTCCCTAGAGTACGGTTACCAAGTCAGGATTCCCTCTCCCAAGTGACATCTTTACTCTTGGGCAAACAATGTCAGTAACCTTCATGCCTTTATTAAAATGATCACAATGAAGCATCTATTCTTGAAAGTCAGCAGGTAGGATCTGTAACAGAAACAAGTGCCTGAGCCTCAGCTGAGTCACCAAGCCCTTGAGGGAAATTGACCTGTGCCTCTTGCCTCACATTGGTGAATTTTAGGAGGCTACTCCTTTGACGTATTAGATTTCTAGAATTGTCTGACTCTCCAGTAATATTCAGGGAATAGAGATACTTWAAAAAATGATGAAAATACTTTCAGTGATTCTATTTCTCAGTGACTATGAATGCAAAAAAATAGACATGGAAAAGCAGCCCTTTGTTTCTAATACTGCCTCAGGCTGTACTCTTTGCTCTAAAATTGGTTGGCCTGGGTTGGGAGAGAGCAGATGGATAAGGGATTCATTAGTATTTTTTCCAGGGTGGTTCTTCTTTCTGACTTKCAACCATTATTTTCCCTTAGCTGTATTTGAGTGTATGTGATACTGATTTCTTCTGTTTTGTGACATTGTGTCCCAGTCTGAATAGCATTAGCCCCTCTGAAGTTAAAAAATCAAGTGTCAAGAGCACTGTGTCCGAAGGAAGTGCCTCACTCAACTGCTCCATACTCACTGAGGACTTCAAATGTTTTAAAGCCACCTGGACTGAGGTGGTACAGGAGAACAGAGAGAAATGGAAAGCACAAGCCACCAAAGGTAACAGCCAGGCTTCTTAGTGAAAGAATAAAAAAATTTTTGGCCTCTTATTTTTCAAGCTTATCTTCAATCTAACCATTCTCCAAGCAAGCACTCTTAGCTTGAAAGAATCTGCTTTTTGAGTTCAACAACCCACTGTGAATTCAGAAAGATAGGGACATTGTGACTCATCTGTGCCTAATGTTCTTTTTATGCGATATAAGTGTACATAACAAAGAGGATGTGAGCAATGGGAGGGAAAAAAATTGTAAGGGCGTTCCCCTAAAGTCACAAATCAGACTCACAGTGGGTGCAAAATTAGTTGGAACAGTGTTTGTAGCTATAGGTTTGTACATGAATTGTTCATTGTTAAGTCTGAAAGAGAGTGGTAGTTTTAGAGATGGATGGTAGTGGGGGGATAGTTCGGAGGAGAAAGACACAATATTCTGTATTCACAGCTGGTTTCAAATTTCTGGTTATAATTTGGAAAATTAATTAGGAACTATGCTGAATTGAACTGAACTGAATTGAACCAATCCAACCCAACCCGCACCCCTCCAAAAAAAATCTTTGCTTCTAAGACCCCTCTGGTATTCTCATCTTTTCAGCAATAACAAGGCCCTCAATACTGTTCTTTGTCCAGCTTTGGTCACTGCAGTTCAGGAAACATATGAAGCAATAGAAGACAATGAAAAGTACAGCAATGATAATTGTGATAAGTTGTTTATAGCTAAGAAAATGTAAAGCTGAAAACAGTTTTTTGAAGACTATTGCAGCTGCAAAATAAGGAAACAATTTTTTATTCAAAAACTCTGAACTGTTAAGAGAAGAAAAAATTGGCAGGTCATTATGGGCATTATTATAGTGTCTAATAAATTAGACATTAGCAAATCTCTATTATTGGAGTTCTTTTGGAAATACTGAGAGCCATCTTTTGCGAATCATTTAGGTATAACTGTCCATATAACTTCAAGGGGATAGATGATTGCCCAAGATATCCTTGAGCCCTTAGGTGATTTGGACTCGTTTTGGAACAAAAAAAAAGAAGGAATGTTTCACTGCTTGTTTTTTTTCCTTCATGGAACTGCGACACAATTTATTCTCTGATCTCAATAGTTGCTGGTCAATGCCTTATTTAATGGAGTTGTTATATTTCAAATAAATGGAAAAAGTTTGATTTTAATGTGTTACATGGCCATGACTTTAGAGATTTGGCACATTTTCTAAAATTCCAGAGCAAAGTTTTCCTCTCCAACTGAAAGACCTGCCTAAAGAAAATCAGAAAATCATGTGTTATTCAAACCAAGTTTTCCTTTGTGATTAAAACTTGCCACTAATGAAAGACACTTTCTAGGCATTCCACAAAAAATGAAAACAAAAACATGATTCAGAATCTGTTTATTTACCAGGGACTTTTTTTTTTGTTTGTTTACATGGTGGATTGGTTTCGGTTCAGGTTTTGGTTTTGGTTTTGGTTTTGGTTTTGGTTTGGGTTTGGGTTTGGGTTTGGTTTGGGTTTGGGTTTTGTTTGGAGGGGTTTTTTTTTGTTTCTTTATTTGGTTTGGTTTTTTTGGTTGTTGTTACTTTTATTGGGTTTTTTTGGTTGGTTGGTTGGTTGGTTGGTTGGTTGGTTGGTTGGTTGGTTGGTTGGTTGGTGGGGTTTTTTGCTTCTTTTGGACCCAATTAAAGCTAACCAAACAAGCAAAGTATTTAACAAGTTCAGTGACTCACAGTATAGGAGTGTTGAGTGAATTAAGTTACAATACAGTTAACTACTTTTAAGAAATTAATTTCAACACATACCATATATATTCCCTTGTCTAAGGATTTACTATATAAAAATCCTAAGTGCAAGACAGACCTATGGGGGACTTTTACATAATTTCTGTGTTTCTAGGTACATTTAGTAGTACAAGCAGGGGTATTTTTTTAATCCTGAAAGAGTTATGCAAACATATGACTCAGCATACCTTTGTATGGGCTTGTTGTGGGTTAAGGTTTCTCCTGTTTCCTTTCTTGAGGAATATTTTTTCCCCATTTTGTTGCTGAGGCTGAGATACACTGATTGCCAGGTCATCCTTTTGATGGCTGGGCAATTGGTGAAGACAAAAGAACCTA